CTCCCCAGGCCAGGCGAGTCATGGCGAGTAGTTGATGGATTGCTAAGCAGGTGAACACAAATTGGACTTCCTAGAGCTGGAAATATTTGAACTGAATCTTGAAAGGTGAAAGGAAGTTAGCTCTCTATTGTGTGGTAGAGAGTGTGGACACTTCATGCAGAGAGGAAGAGATATATGAGTACATGGCATGAAGTGGCTTGGCCAGACTGAAGAAAAACAAGTAGGGTTAGAACAAAGGATCCATAGATGGGAATATCAGGTGCACAAGGCCTCTGTCACAATGGGCCTTGTGTGCTTAGACTTGAATGTATCCTTAAGGAAACAGGGATATATTGGGGTATTTGTAAGGAAGAGAATTGCATAATGTTTATGTTGAAGAAGATCTGGTTATTCTGGCAGCAGAATGGAAGATACTATTTTTGGGGGGAGGCCCATATTTTGGGGGGAAAGGATATTTTGGGGCCACCCCAGGTAACCCAGAAAAGTGGCACATGCCTGCAGAGAGGCCCCTGGCAGAGGGATAGAGACATGGGCGGCAGAAGTGGTGACTGCTGCAGAGGTGACTGTAGGACTGGGGCGGCGGGCCACAGAGCTGCTGAGGTGAATTTCCAGTGACCCATCTGGAGAGTGGATCTGCAGGGGGAGTGTAAGGGGAAGAGCTGATTTTGAGGAGATGGTTCTGTGTGTGGCATTTTGAGTGCAAAGTGTCTATGGGACATCTGAGGGATGATGTCCATTGTTAAGCTGGATTCACCAGTCAGGAGCTCAGAGGAGCTGTGGGTGAGGCCGTGGGGGCAATTCAGTCCTGCCAAGCGGAGGATTGAAGATGAGGCCCTAGGGAAAAGGGCCATGGACATGGCAAATGGGAGAAGAGAAATCCACCAAGAGAAAGAACAACCAAGCAGTTGGGAGAAAACTAGTTGAGGCAACACAGAGAAGGCCATAACCTGGCTTAAGAGGGATTTGAACACTGACTAAAAGGAGTATAGTGAGAAAGGGGGGTGTGCGGGACAAAGAAGCAAGGGCTAAATCCACCTTTAATTGCCAAGACTGGGGAAAAGGAGGAGGAGAACTATAGTTAGGTAGCCTTTACAAAACAGATCTTTGTGTATCTGTGTGTGTGCATATGTGCACACACACTTTCCTGCCTGGGCTTTTTAAATTTATTTAAGTTAAACAAAAATTAAGGGGGAAAACATTCCACTGAGAGGAAAATATTTGTCCAAGGCAAAAGCTACCTGGTAATCAAATAAACAGGAGCTGAAAATGCCCACTGGTTTGAAACACGCAGCCACCGGCAGTGCAACTCCTGTCTCAGTGCCGCGGTGAGGGCCGTGGGGGACCCAGGGCTCTGAGCCCTGGAGGAGTCATCAGCGCAGGTACTTCTCCAAGAAACTGGACTTTAAAGGGAAGAAGAAAGTGTAGAAAGTATCAGAGAGAAACACAGGGCCATGAGAGAGGGTTGGGCGAGGATTAGTTTTGTTTTACAGTGGGTGTTTCTGGCCTTGCTGAGTTGCTAGGCCTTTGCTGTTGTTGGTCTTTATTCCAAAAGCTTTTTAGAAAGTTCTTCTCGCTTGAATATCTGAACAGATTAAATCATGTTTGGTTATTTCTGGTGTTTTATTTTTTAATTAAAAATTTATCTGAAATTTATTTTAACATCAAAAATGAGGACACTGTACCAGGTCTTCCAATGATTTAGCTAATTACTCCACTACTTGAATCCACTGATTTGAAGTTTCAGTTTTATAATATTACTAAAATCTCATAAATATCCATGTCTATTCTTGAAATGCATTCTATTTCATTCATAATCTCAGTGCAGTATTTCTATACTGTTTCCACGACCATAGATTAATGCCTCCTAGAGTTGGCCCTATTTTATCCTTTTCCAGAATGTCCCTAATACTACAAATTCAAACATCCCTCCTCATTATTTTATTTGTATATTTGTGTATATTTCTGCAAGGACTATACGATCACCTGTCAGATTTTTTTCTTAAATCCATTTTGGATTATTAACTAAATTTGCATTCAGATTCTAAATTTATTTTGGAGAAATAATGTTCTATGTCCCCCAAACGTGAGTCTGCCCAATGAAGAGTATGGTGAATCCTACTGCTCATTCAATCATCACTTTTTTTTAAAGTCATTTATCAGAATCTTCTTAACATTTTTCATTAATGTATTTCTGAATATTCTGTGTCTTTGTTGTCATTATAAATGATATCTTTTCTGGGTTTTGAACTGGGTTGATTGCTAATAAACTCTTAATTTCTGGCTTCTGTTGAATAAGAAGGAGATCTGACAGTGTGGTGCCCTCTTTCCAATATGGTGACTGTGAGCAGTGCATTCCCTTAGGATGTCCACTTGCCAATTTGCCAGTGGCTGCACCCACTACACACATTTCTGCTTCTTACCTGCCCCCTGTAGGCAGATGTTTTCATGTAGGGTTAGGTGGGTTATGGACACAGATACTGATATCACTGCTGCCACGCTACTGACTCTGTGGCTTCACTAACTCTGGTTCTTGCTTTCTGACCTCCCTGAATATGACAGCTCCTTTTGGGCTGTGGACCTACTGCATCTTTCCAGCACTGTCGGCTTATCTGCAACACACCCCTGCCTCTCAGGTCAGAAGCAAATGTCAGCCCCTCCTACCCATCCACCCCATCCATGGCCTTGCCGTTCCTGGCCAGAGTGGTCCCTACCCCTTGACTGAGCAGTAACACTAAAGGGACTATAAATTTGCTTCTCATCCATTGTCTAAGTTACATACCTGTGCTAGTTTACTTTATAGGTTTGCCAGTTAGGAGGGGAGTGTCTAAAAGTCTTTTAGAACTCTGGCCTTATCATTTCTAATCTCTCCCCACCCTATGGAACAGCTTACCACAGATCTCTGCTGCCCCATCTGAGCAATGCCCTGTAAATTACAGACAGAAGGAAAAGAACTTCTAAGCCACCACCATAACTTTGACTTCCTGTGACAACACACTCCATAGAAATATCAAGATAAAAATTCCTGAAGAAGGATATTTTGCTTAGGAAGACACTTTAATTGCATACCTTTCTGTGACTTGTAATAACTTCATAGACACTCTGAATGTGCTGCACTCACCTTCCCAGACTCTAGGGAGCTTGCTCACTTGCCTATTTTCAGTGCATTTCCTCCAACATTCTCTATGCAGAGCTTTCCCAAAGGTACATTTCTTATTTCTATTTAAATTGTTACATACATCCACAATATTCTTTTTTAATCCTCAATTACAAATCATCTTCCAAGATTGTATTATTTCAACACTGAGAGTGAATAATATGCTTCAAGATTCCCAAGTTTATTACCAGCAAATAACTATGGTGCGTTAAAGATTTTTAAGTATGTTATTCCTACTAAGGGTATATACGTGAATTAAACAGGTTGTAATTAGTCTTCTTCCCAGAGATTTTATATTTGCCTTCTGTTTGGATTCTTTCACTGTTGAACATTATTATTACCATGAATGTCTTTTCTCTTTGGGATTTAGTTCACCATTTTCCTCTCTATCTTTACAGGAGTAAAGGAATTGATGTTGTCCTTCCATCCATCCACCACTCCATGTTGTGTGTCCATTCCTTCAACAGGTATTCAGTTTATGTTCACCACCTTAATTGTGGCCTCTTTCTGGTGGCCCCTCTGTTGGCTCTGGAGAACAATATATTGGAAATCAGAGTGGGTACGTGGAAACTTGACTACCCAGTATAGACGCATGGTGCCAGAAAAAGCCCAGAACATCACAGTGTGGCAGCCCACCATGCAAGGAACAGCAATTCTGGCTGTGGTGGACCAATGTGAGTAAAAAGACTTCATGGGATGAAGACCTTAAAGAGTCCAAAAGTGCATTAGCGTTGCATCCTAAGGAATCCAGTGTTGGGTATTTTTTAATATGAGAGGGAGATACTAACACTATCATTGTTATAAACAACATAATTATTGTAACTGTAATTGTTATTATTTTAATATATTTTCTTTTTAATTATTATTTGTGACTTACAAGACCCTTACAGAGGCAGTTGTTAATAAGCATGGCCATTATACTGTAACTGAAGTGTTAATTTAGGAGAAGCATGGTAATACTATTAATAAGTACTCACTCTTTTGATCCTCACATGACTATAAAGGTCACCCAGCAGTGCTTGTATAATGGAGATAGAAATCTATCCATTTAAGAATTTGTAGAACCTAAAATAAGAGCAGTCATTACACCGTATTTGACAATATATTCCAGAATATCAGTTTAAAGTAGGTACTACCTGATGAGGCCATATAAACCCTTTGTGCATCCCCAATCATTCATTACCTTCCTGGTACCCTGGAGCAGAGGTTCTTCCAGAAGTTGGCCCCATCTCTCCTTCCCACCCTAGTCTTTGCCTTTGCTACACACTGTTGGTCATTAGCTAAGCATCCTCATGTCCTGCATGTGTCTGAGCTTGAGGGAACAGAACTCAGCTGTTTACAAACAGTATTGACTATGACCAGTCTGAACAGTCTCTCTCCTAACCTGCCCACACCCCCACAGGGCAACGGGGGCTCACAACCACAGCGATTCTCATGCCAGCACATCAGGGAATCTTCTTCCCTAGAAATATTCTTACAACCAGGGCTGTTTCCTCCCTTACTTCACTGCCAGTTTCACTCCCAGGTTACAGTCCCCAACAAAAGGCTATCCCAGTTTGAATTTCTTAATCAAGTCACATTGACCCTTAGTACCTGGCATTTTTCTATGAGCATGCATAGAAACAGAACAGGGCCTGGCAGTGGCTGTGGGCCAGGCTCCTGGGTGAGGGGACATGCTGGGCGCTTCAGGTTCTGTAGTCTGGCCCGAGCTTAGCTCCCAGCACAGCGTCTTCCAATTTGTATGATTTCGGGCCAGGCTTCAACAGTTCACTCTTTCATTGTATCATCTGCAAATAGAATAATTACCTGCTGCATATTTTAAGACTGTTATTTACCACAAAGGGTGCTTGGGAATTCAGTGAGTCAATGCATGGAAGTCACACAACTTGGTCCTGAGGGAATGTTAGTTATCTTCATTATGCACCATGGATAAAATTGGCTGCACAGACTTGGCCAGGTATCAAAGCTGCAGGCACAAAAATTTGACCATGTGTCACTGTCTGGATCATAGTCACAATTTTACACAGTAAAGCAAGCTACCTGGGACCACCCAGCTGTCAGCCCACTTGACTCTCCACCCCAAGATTCCTCAATTTATCTGATATGCTTGCTACCCCTACTTTTTGGAGAAAGTTGGCAAATCACACACAGTCAATGACTGCTAGGTTATGTCCATTCCCATTCACTCAAATTGCCCCATTTTCAGTATCCACTGTGCTGCAAAACATAAACTAATGTTCAGAAATATGACAGCAAGGCCTTTCCCGTTTCACAGTCAGAGAAGTGTGAATGTTTCATGTTTAATATGCCATATGACATTAAGCAAGGCAGGAAAACAGGCTCCTGTGCTTTAAGAAAGTTTTTAACAATGACGTTTGAAACTAAAAGTGTTTTTGTTTGACCTTCAGCTAACCAGAAAATTCAATTAACTCCTATTCCCCATTACTCAGGTGTCCTGGTTTGATTGTATTAGGCACTTTTTCTTCATCTTCCCAGCATGACTTTGCTCCATCAGCACAGATGGAGTGTCTTCAAGGCTGCTCCATGTGCATGGGCATGTGTATGCACACATGGGCACCCACTGATTGGTGCCACTGATCCATATCCAGGAGCTGTTCTGTCTTATTACTCAAGCATTGCTTTATTATATCCTAGAAAACTGCTTTTAGATCATTGATTGAACTATAGAACATCCTCTTGCCCACATTAGGAAGTGACGTCTTCCAAGACACAGTTCCTCTGTGTTTGTATATATGTTTAAGTAAGAATTAAATATTTATGTCATTCCCTCACATATTTAATTTGTGCTTTCCCAATTGAATGTGCACAGTAAAGGCTAACTTCCCATAACAGGAGAACTTTTAGGAAGTAAGAAGAAGGAATTAGCCACCAGGGAGAAGACAGTATATCAAGCAGGAGTTTGGTATAAAATCATTTATTCTAAATCTGCTCTGGCTCAATAAATAAGTGGAATTGACATTGTTGTATCATGCCAGAGCATCTGCTATTGAAGACCAATTTTAATTTACTTTGATGTAAGTGGAAAATTGTGTCAGAACAGCATGGGAAATGAAGAACACTGCATCTATCTGTACTCCTGAAGTGTGTCTCAGACCTGCTTAGTTTTGAGGAAAATTATCTTGTCTGGAGACAATAGAATTATTTTCATTGTTGGAATTTTTGTAGCTTCCAGAAGCACATCTGCAGGTGATTCTGTAAAAGTCTAGAGTTGACTTAAATAGCAGGAAATTTTAGCCTATTGAAATCAGGAGAAGTGAAACATTTTTACATACCACCACCACCACCACCAGGCAAGCACGTGTACACCCAGAGAGATTTCACATTAGAGGGAATGACAAAGCTGGTACTGTTACCAAGGTTAAACTTGTTCTGCTCACTGCACAACAGTGATAAATAAATAAATCAGGAGACAAGGTTTTGGGGCAAGGAATAGTAACTTTATTCAGAAAACTGGCAGACCAAGAAGATGGGGAACAAATGTCCTGGAGAATCATCTTTCCCAAGTCAGAATTAAGGCTCCTTTTAAACTAAAAAGGGGAGGGTATGTGGTTGATTGTGCAAACTTCTTGCTGCAGGCATTCTTTGTTCTTACAGCCATCCATGTGGGTCAGGCTATGGTGTCCCTCTAAGCCTCCAACAAAACAAAGGTTATTCTCTATTTTGCAACTTGCAATCTCTGCGTAAGTTCAGAAGTGCTAACATCCTTAAAGGTCAGAACCCTGAGAATAGGCTCTCCTGTAGGTTTTAGGCTAAAGGCAACGTTATTCTACAAAAGGTGCAGAGCCAGCAAGATTAAGCCTGGAAAACAGGGCACAGTGCTTCAAACTAAAGGAACAGATCCAACACGGCATTAGATTTGTTCTCGATTACAATTTTAATTAGGGGAAATTTTGCAGCAGAAAATCCCCTCAGTTGTTTTTCTTGCTTTGCCTGACATCTTGTTTGTTGGCTTGTGGTCTCATGGTGTGTAAACCGTATGTTCAGATGAATACTATTAAAATCATATGGTGCAGAAAATATATCTGTTCTGCTTCAAAAAATGACTGAAACAATTAGCTTTGTTTATTCCCATAGAATCTGGATTGAATCTATTCTCAACTGTCTTCTTCCTTCAAAACAGTTTTTTACTGGAGGATTTAAAGCCCAAATTAAAGAATTTTAGAGAAGACTCATGTAATTCATAAGAGCTTTACATAGGAATTTAAGACTGAACCACATTTATATTTTTAATCAAGGAACAAAATAACCTTTGTTAGTCGATCATTTATGATGTTTTTAACTTTGTACATGTAATCTTTTGGAAGTTGAGATGCTTAGACAATTGATCTAACAAAACAGGTTTTATTGCTTGACTCTGTGAATGAAAGAATCCCAGTATAGTTTCCTGCAAATATATTTTATTGAAAATAATAAAGAATTCTTGCTTTCTAATAAAGCAACAGACAGAGGCATATACTGAGTGTTTAAAATAAATAAGACTAGGGAAAGTTATCTAAACAATGGAAGATAGTATAGAGAAAAAAGTATGAACTTGAAGGAAAATATATATTGTGCAATTAATATCCTATTTTTAAGAAGGAAATGATAAAAAACCCCAATTTTTAAATGATTTATCGAAAAAGGTGTTATAAAAAGCCAACTTATTTTCATAAGTGTTACATAAAAAAGGGTTATATAAATCTATATTATTAAAGAATAAAATATACCAAATATAACTCCAAGGTAAATTGATTTTCATGATACTTATAATTTTTGAAAATATAACTTACATATACATATCAAAGCAGCTCTTGAGATAACCACAGTACCCTAGTATACAGTTAATCCCATTCAACATAAAAAATGAAAAGGCAAGGATCAGGCCCTTACTTTCAAACTGCCACTGGACTTCAGGATATTACCTTAGGTTAAAGACCAAAAGCAAAATAAATATTCTACTTTGAAGCAGTCCCTCAAAACTTTAAGACATTCAATATTTATATGCAGTTATAGGAAAGACAAATTTCTGAATTTAAAAAAAAAGAAATTAACTGCTGAAAATGAAATTCTGTAATGTCTCATGACCATAATTATAAAGTCTCTAAATTAAGGCTCCCATTACTGTTTTCCTACAAGCACAGGAAATGATCAATTTCATATTCCATTTATGATAGATAAATGAACGTCTACCCACAAGCTAAATTCTGAGAGTTAGGTGTGTGTGAAAGCCGTCAATGACCTTGTTGGCAAAACACAGTTTCAATTAAGTGGGAAACAACACTACATAAATACATATGGGGAGGACCAAGTTACAACTGGGAGTTACAGTGAAAACTGCATGAAATTAAAAGCAGCAGAATAAACATACAGAGAATCCAGAATAAGTGTTTTAACTGAAAACAATTACCCTAAACCTAGATGAATGGAACTCTGTCCACATATTCAATTCTGAGATTTAACACTGTGTGAAAACCATGAATCACCTAGCTTGTGGGGAAATCAAACTTTCTTTTAAGTTGGAAAGTACAATACATATATATATATGGGGAGGTATTCATTCCAAATCAGTTTTACACTGAAAAATGCAGGAAGTTCAAACACCCTAAAAACAGACTGAGAAACCAAAGATAGTGTTTCTCGTGCAAACAATTTCCTTTGTGCTAGATGAACAAACGTCTCTCCACATGCTCAATTTTGAGGGATAAATGTGTGTGAAAGCCTCATTTCACCTAGCTTGCTGGGATCACAAAGTTCTTTTCTGTTGGAAACTACACTACATACATATATATGGGGAGGTACTAGCTCCATCTAGGTTTAAAAGTGAAAAAAGCAGGAACTTCAAACCGGCACTAGAAAACAGAATGAGAAACTGAGTTACTGTTTCTCCTGTGACCCGTACATTTGTGCTAGATGAAAGAACGTCTCTCTACATGCTCAGTTCTGATATTTATGTGTGTGTGAAAGCCGTTTTTGCCTAGCTTGTTGGGAACAAAAATTTTCATTTCAGTTGGAAACTACACTACATACATTTATGGGGAGGTACAAGCTCCATCTCGGTTTAACAGTGAAAAGAGGAGGAATTTCAAACCGGCACTAGGAAATAGACTAAGAAACCAGAGTAAGTGTTTCTCCTGCAAGCCATTCCTTTTTGCTAGATGAACGAACGTCTCTCAACATGCTCTGTTCTGAGAGAAAAGTGTGTGTGAAAGCCGTCCTTCACCTAGCTTCTTTGGAACAAAAAGTTTCTTACAGTTGGAATCTACACTATATACATATATAAGGGGAGGAACAAGCTCCAACTCACTTTTACCGTGAAATCTGCAGGAAATTCAAACCGGCAATTGGAAACAGAATGAGAAACAAGAGTGTTTCTCCTACAACTTTTCCCTTTGTGCTAGATGAACAAAAGTCTCTCCATATGATCCAAATTGAGAGATAAGGATGTGTGAAAGCCATCATTCACCTAGCTTGTAGGGAACACAAAGTTTCTTTTATGTTGGAAAATATTCTGCATATATATATATATGGGGAGGAACTAGCTCCAGTTGGGTTTTACAGTGAAAAATGCAGGAAGTTCAAACCAGCACTAGGAAAAAAACTGAGAAACTAGTGTTAGAAATTCACCTGTAACAAGTTCCCTTTTTGCTAGACCAACGAACGTCTCTCCACATGCTCAGGTGTGAGAGAGAAGTGTGCATGAAAGCCGTCCTTCATCTAGCTTGTTATGAAAACAGTTGTTTTTAGTTGGAAATTAAGCTACATACATATATATGGGTAGAAACAAGCTCCAACTTAGTTTTACAGTGAAAACTGCTGAAATATCAAAACGGCACTAAGAAACAGACTGAGAAACCAAAGTACTGTTTCTCCTGCAACCATTTCCCCTGTGCTAGATAAATGAAAGTCTCTAAACATGCTCAGTTCTGAGAGATAAGGGTGTGTGAAAACCATTCTTCACCTAGCTTGTTGAGAACTCAAAGTTTCTTTAGGTTGGAAACTACTCTGCATACATATATATGGGGTGCTACTAGCATCAAATCAATTTTACAGCAAAAACTGCAGGATCTTCAATCCAGAACTAGGAAAGAACAGAGAAACCAGAATAATAGTTTCCCTTGCAAGCCGTTCCTTTTGTGTAGATAATGAACGTCTGTGTACATGCTCAGGTCTGAGAGTTCATTGTGTGTGTAATCCAACCTTCACTTTTCTTGCTGGGAACACATAGTTTCTTCTCAATTGGAAAAATTATTACACTCATATATATGGTGAGGGACAAGCTCCAACACGGTTTTATGTAAAAACGGCAGGAACAGCAACAGGCACTAGGAAACAGACTGAGAAAGCAGATACAGTGTTTCCCGTGAAAACTGTTCCCTTTGTGGTAGATTAACGAACGTCTGACCACATGTTCATTTCTGAGAGATAAGTGAGTGTGAAAACAGTACTTCACCTAGCTTGTTAGGAACAAAAAGTTTCTTTTCAGTTGGAAACTGTACTGCATACATACATATGGGGAGGTTCCAACTCCAACTCAGTTTTACAGTGAAAACTGCAGGGACTTCAAACAGGCACTAGGAAACAGACTGAGAAACAAGATTAAGTGTTTTTCCCGCAACCCGTTTCATTTGTGCTAGATGAACGAACGTCTCTCCACATGCTCTTTTCTGAGAGATAAATGTGTGTGAAACATTCCTTCAGCTTGATTGTTGGCAACACAAAGTTTCTTTCGCTTGGAAAATACACTACAAACACACATTTAGGGGGACAAAATCCAAATCTCTTTCACAGTGAAAATTGCAGGTACTTAAAAGCGGCACGTGGAAAATTACTGAGAAACCAGAGTAATTGTTTCTCCTCCATACATTTCTCCTTATGCTAAATAAACTAACGTCTCTCCACATGCTCAGTTCAGAGATGTAAGTGTGTGTGAAAGCTCTCCTTCACCAAGCTTGATGGGATAACAAAGATACCTTTCGTTTGGAAACTACACTTCATACACATATATAATGGTAAGTTCTAGAACCAACTTGGTTTTATAGTGAAAATTGCAGGAACTTCAAACCGGCACTAGGAAACATTTTGAGAAAACGGTGTAAGTGTTTCAACTGCAAAACATTCCCTTTGTGCTTGATGAACGACAGTCTCTCCACATGCTCTCTTCTGAAAAATAAGTGTGTGTGAAAGACGTATTCCAGGTAACTTCCTGGGAACACAAAGTTTATTTCCAGTTAGAAACTACAGTACATACATACATATGGGGAGGTACAATATTCAAATCTAATTTACAGTGAAAATTGCAGATAGTTCAAAGAGACACTAGGAAAATCACTGAGAAACCAGAGTAAATGTTTCTCCTCTAACCAGTTCTCTTTATGCTTAATGAACTATCATCTCTACACATGCTCAGTTCTGAGAGATATGTGTGTGTGAATACTGACTTTAACTAGGTTGTTGTGAAAACAGAGTTCTTTTAATTTGGAAAGAGCACTATATTCATATGTATGGGGAGATAATACCTCCAACAATTTTTTACAGTGAAAACTGCAGGAACTTCTTACCAGAACCTGGAAACACACAGAGAAATAAGAGTAAGTGTTTCCTTGGCAATCTTATCACTTTGTCCTTGATGAACGGTCGTTTCTCAACATGCTCAGTTCAGAGAGGTAAGTGTGTGTGAAAGCTGTCCTTTCCCTAGCTTGTTGGGATAACATGGATTCTTTAGTTTGAAAACTACACTTCATACACATATATGGGTTGGTACTAGCACCAACTCGGTCTAACAGTGAAAGTTGCAGGAACTTCAAACCGGCACTAGGAAATACTTTGAGAAAGTGGATTAAGTGTTTCAGCTGCAACACATTCCCTTTCTGCTTGATGAATGACCAGCTTTCCACATGCTCTTTTCTGAGAGATAAATATGCGTGGAAGCCATCCTTCAACTAACTTCTTGGGAACACAAAGTTTATTTCAAGTTGGAAAATTCAATCCATACACATATAGGGAGGTATTAACTGTAACTCAGGTTTATGATAAAAACTGCATTAACATCAAACAGGTAAAAAGAAACACACTGTGAAAATGGAGTAACTTTTTCTCCTGCAACATATTCACTTTGTGCTTGATGCACGAACGTCTCTCCACATGCTCTGTTCTGAGATATAAGGGTGTGTGAAAGCCATACTTCACATAGCTTGTTTGGAACACAAAGTTTCTTCTCAGTTGGAATCTCCAGTACATACATTTATATGGGGAGGAACAAGTTCCAACTCGGTTTTATAGAGAAAATTGAAGGAACTTAATACCGGCACTAAGATACAGACTGAGAAATCAGAGTAAGTACTTTTCCTGCAACCTGTTCACTTTTCTCTTGATGAACAAATTTCTCTCCCCATTCTCAATGTTGAGAGATGAATGTGTGTGAGAATCATCCTTCACTTATCTTGTTGGGAACACAAAATTTCTTTTCAGTTGGAAACTCCACTACATACATACATATAGGGAGGTACTAAATACAACTCAGTGTGCAGTGAAAATTGAAGGAACTTGAAACCGGCACTAGGAAACAGACTGAGCAACAGGAGTAAGTGTTTCAAATGCAACCCATTCCCTTTGTGCTAGATGAACAAACGTGTCTCTAAATGCTCTGATCTGAGAGATGTATGTGAGTGAAAGACAAATTTCACTTATCTTGTTGGGAACACAAAGTTTCTTTACAGTTGTAAACTCCACTACATACATAAATATGGGGAAGTAGAAGCTCCAAAGTGGCTTTACATTGAAAACTCTAGGAACTTCGTACCGGCAACAGGAAAAATACTGAGAAACCAGAGAAAATATTTCCCCTGCAAACAGTTCCCTTTGTGCTAGATGAACCAACGAATCTCCACATGCCCAGTTCTGAGAGTTAATTGTATGTTAAAGCCATCCTTCAACTTGCTTGTTGCGAACAGAAGGTTTCTATTTATTTCAAAAGTACACTTCATACATATATAAGGTTTCGTACAAGGTCCAACAAGTTTTCACAGTGAAAACTGTAGGAAAATCAAACCAGCGCTAGGAAATAGATTGAGAAACCAAAGTAAATGCTTCTCCTTCAACCTGTTCTCTTTGGGCTAGATGTACGATCGTCTCTCCACGTGCTCAGTTCTGAGAGATAAGTGTGTGTGAAAGCCGTCCTTCACCTAGCATGTTGGGAACACAAAGTTTCTTTTCAGTCAGAAACTCAAATACATACATACATGTGGGGAAGTATAAGCTCAAAATCATTTTTAAAGTGATAACTGCAGGAATTTCAAACTGGCACTAGGAAACAGACTGAGGAACTACAGTAAGTGCTTCTCCTGCAAACCCTTCCCTTTTTGCAAGATGAACGAACGTCTCTCCACATGCTCATTTGTGAGAGATATGTGTGTGTGAATGCCGTTCTTCATCTAGCTTGTTGGGAACACCAAGTTTCTTTTCAGTTGGAAACTTCAATACATACATACATATGGGGAAGAACTAGCTCCAACTTGGTTTTACAGTGAAAATTGCAGGAACTTCAAACCAACACTAGGAAACAGACTGAGAGACCACACAGTAAATGTTTCTCTTTCAAACAGTTCCGTTGGTGCTTAATGAAAAAACATCTCTCCACATGCTAAGTCCTGAGGGATAAGTGTGAGTGAAAGCCTTGCTTCACCTAGCCTGTTAGGAACACAGAGTTTCTCTTCAGTTGGAAACTACATTACATATATTTATATGGGTACTTAGAAGTTCCAATTTGGTTTTAAATTTAAAACTGCAGGAACTTCACATCGGCACTTGGAAACAGACTGAGAATTCAGAGTAAATTTATCACTTGCAACCCGTTCAATTTGTTCTAAATGAACAAATGTCTCTCTGCATGCTCTGTTCAGTAAGTTAAGCTTGTGTGAAAGCCTTCCTTGAACTTGCTTGTTGGGAACACAAGGTTTCTTTTAATTTGTAATCTAAACTACATATATATATATATATGGTGTTGTACTAGCTCCAAAACTCTTTTAGAGTGAAATCTGCAGGAATTTCAAACCAGCATTAACTTACAGACTGGGAAACCAAAGTAAGTATATGTCCTGCAAGCTGTTCCCTTTGTTCTAGATGAAGAATTTTTCTTCACATGCTCAGTTCTGAAGGATAAGTGTGTGTGAAGCCATCCTTCACCTAGCTTGTTGGGAACACAAAGTTTCTTTTAAGTTATAAACTACAGTACGTACATATATATGGGGAGGAACAAACTACAAGTCGGTTCAACAGTGAAAACTGCAGGAATTTCAAAACGGCACTAGGAAACAGACTGAGAAACCAGAGTAATTATTTCTCCTGCAACCTTTTCCATTTGTGTTAGATGAACGAAATTCTCCCACTTGCTCGGTTCTACGAGATAAATGTGTGTGAAAGCCGTCTTTCACCTAGCTTGATGGTAACACAAAGTTTCTATTCAGGTAGAAACCCCACTACATACACATATATAGAGAGGTACTAGTTACAATTAGGATTTACAGTGAAAATTGCAGGAATTTAAAGCGGCACTTATAAACAGACTGAGAAAACAAGGTAAGTGTTTCACCTGCAATTATTTCCGTTTGTACTAGATGAATGAAAGTCTCTCCACATGCTCAGTTCTGAGACATAATTGTATGTGAAAGCCATCCTTCAAGTACCTTGTTTGGAACACAAAGTTTATTTTCAGTTATGGACTCCACTACACACATATATATGGGGACGTGCTAGCACCAACTCGGATTTACAATGAAAACTGCAGAAATATATAACTGGCACTAGGAAACAGACTTAGATACCAGAGTAAGTGTTTCCCCTGCAAACAGCTCTCTTTGTGATAGATGAATGAATGTCTCTCCACATGCTCAGTTCTGACGGATAATTGTGTGTGAAAGCCGAACTTCACCTTGCTTGTTGGGAACACAAAGTTTCTTTTCAGTTTGCAAACTCCACTACATACATATATATGGGGAGGTTGAAGCTCCAAAACTGTTTTACAGTGAAAATTACAGGAACGTTAAACCGTCACTTGGAAACAGAGAGTCCAAAGTAAGTGTTTCTCCTACAACCCATTCCATTTGTGCTAGATTAACAAACGTCATTCCACATGCTCTATTCTCAGAGAAATGTGTGCATGAAAGCCAGAAATCACATAGCTTGCTAGGAACACAAAATTTCTATTCAGTTGCAAATTCCACTATATACGTATATATGGGTAAGTACAAGCTCCAACTTGGTTTTACAGTGAAAACTGCAGGGACTTTAAACCGGTCCTAGGAAACAGACTGTGAAACCAGAGTAATTGTTTCTCCTGTAAGTCATTCGCTTTGTGCTAGATGAACGAACGTCTCTCCACATACTTGTTTCTGAGAGATATGTGTGTGTGAATGCCATCCTTCTCTTAGCTTGTTGGGAACACAAAGTTTCTTTTTAGTTGCAAACTATACTACATACATATATATTGGGAGTTACATGCACCAAATCGTTTTTCCTGTTAAAACTACAGGAACGTCAAACCGGCACTAGGAAACAGACTGAGATTCCACTATAAGTGTTTCTCCTTCAACCTGTTCTCTTTGTGCTAGATGAAAGATCTTTTTTTTGAAAGACAAAAAAACTAATTTTGTAGGCAAAATAATGACCCCCCCAAAATGTCTATGTCCTAATCCCCAGAATATATGAAGAAGTCAGGTTTCCTGGCAAATTGGGCCTATTTTTGCAGAAGCAGTTATATTTGCTAACCAGCTAACTCTAAGAGAAACGAGGTAGATTATAGAGGTGGGCTCAGTGTAATCACCAGGATCATTAAAGGAGGAAGAGGGAGGCAGAATTGGAGAGAGAGGAGTGGAGATGTGACCACAGAATCAGAGTCAGAGACACACAACCATGCTGACCTTTAGAGAGAGAAATGATGTCACAAGCGAAAAGATGCAATTGGCCTCTGGAAGCCAGAAAAGTCAAGGATATATGTTCCCCTGAGACCTTCAGAAACAGCCCTGCCAATACTTTGACATCAGCAGGCTTCTGCATTTAAGAACCCTACAAGTTTAAATTTGTGTTGTTTAGTGGACAATTTTTCTTTTTCCTTCCTACTACCATGACGTTTGGGGTTACTTGTTACAACAGCAACAGAAAGCAAATACAGTAAGCTCCTCAAAATGTTCAGAAATTGAAGATAATACTGGACTGTCCACTTTGATGTGGGATTGGGCTTTTGTGAAAATCAGAAGGACCATGTGACCTATGCTAACTTCTGCTTTTCTCATTTTTAGGAAGAGAACAGTAAGTCAAAACCTATGTAGTTATTATTTTAGACAAGTGTCTCTTACAACATTATGTAACCCTTTGCCTTAGGACACCTGGAGAGTCTCTGTTCTGAGAAGAACACGGATTCAGAAAGATAGGCTCTTACGTCTGGGTCCCACAGTGGTCCCTTATCGGCAATGAGAGCTTGGGCAAATCATTTACCCCCTTTAAGCCACAGGATCTTCATTTGCAAAAGGAAGATAAGAATAAGGATTGTTTGGGTGATTAAATTGTAAACACACACACACATTTATGTACAATATTTAATACAGTGACTAGCACATACAAGACACTCAACAAATTCCTGTTATGG